TGGAACAACCTGCCTCCAGAAGCGGTGAATGCTCCAACACTGGAAGTTTTTAAGAAGAGACTGGACAGCCATTTGTCCGAAATGGTATAGGGTTTCCTGCCTGAGCAGGGGGTTGGACTAGATGACCTTCAAGGTCCCTTCCAACTTTACTATTATTATTATTATTATTATTATTATTATTATTATTATTATTATTAAATGGTTGTCCAGTCTCTTCTTAAAAACCTCCAGTGTTGGAGCACCTGCAATTTCAGGTGGCAAGTCGTTCCACTGATTAATTTTTCTCACTAGCCAAGAAATTTTTCCATATTTCTAAGTTGCTTCTCTCCTTGATTATTTTCCATCCATTACTTCTTGAGTTGCTTTGGAGAATAAGTTGACCACCACTTCTCAAATATTGGAACATTGCTATCCTGTCCTCCTTTTCATTAAACTAGATATGACCTAATCCCTGCAATCGCTCTGTCTATGTTTTTATAAATAATGATTACAGCATTGATTACAACCAGCCTTCTGCTATCATAATATTTCTTTCTGGAGGAAAAAAAAAACACTCCCAAATTTGTAAGATAGCCCAGTAGGGTTCAAGGATATAGGCGTCCTGCAATGTAGAATCTAGGAATCGGTGAGAAATAAAACATAAAACATGAGTTCCACCACAGCCAGCATTGGGAAAAAGTGCATTGGCAGATTTGATAGAATTGTTCTGATCCGACAAAAGTTTTTCCCTTTTGGGGGCAGGGTCTGTGAAGCCACAGCTCGCCTCTAGTCTGATCTTTTCAGGAATTGCCCTAAAAAAGGCTGCTTTTGAGAAATGTCAAGTCCCGAGCAATTAAATGAGACGGCTAACCAAACTTAGCTTATCCTAAAATACTCTTTTTGGGGGGGGGGGCTGCTAGATACCCTTGACAGAATTTGTAAGCAGACTGGGAGCTGCTTACCCTTTCATTTGACATTTTCTCCATTGAGATGGATTTCTGGAGTCCTTGGTGCTTTGGTTCTTTTCTTAACAGACGTTTCATTACCGAACTAGGGAACATTATCAGTGCTAAAAGGGAGTGGGGCTTTCTCCCTGTCAGTGTTGGTGGGAGTATTTGATCATTCCTTGATTAAGCTTGTTATTTATTGAGTTCCTTGATTGGAGAAATTGTACTGAGATACAGACAGAAAGCAAACCCCACTCCCTTCTAGCACTGATGATGTTACCTAGTTGGGTAATGAAACGTCTGCAAGAAAACAACCCAGCTCAGATAGCACCAAGGACCCCAGAGGCTTCCTCCTCCTCCACCCCACTCCCTTCTAGCACTGATGACGTTATCTAGTTGGGTAATGAAACGTCTGCAAGAAAACAACCCAGCTCAGATAGCACCAAGGACCCCAGGGGCTTCCTCCTCCTCCACCCCACTCCCTTCTAGCACTGATGATGTTATCTAGTTGGGTAATGAAACGTCTGCAAGAAAACAACCAAGCTCAGATAGTACCAAGGACCCCAGGGGCTTCCTCCTCCTCCACCCCACTCCCTTCTAGCACTGATGATGTTATCTAGTTGGGTAATGAAACGTCTGCAAGACCCCACAGTTCAATCCTAAATTGCAAATATTCTCTTCTTTTGGCAAGGTGGTAAGAAGTATACTTGCTGTTGAAGAGGTGCTCAGCAGACCTTTGGCAGACAGACCGTTTGGTTATTATTGCTGTCTGACTTGTTTTTGTTTTATGCTTCTTTTGTGTTTGTTGCAGGATCTTATGGCCAAGGTGAGGGCGATGCTTGCAGCTTCTAAAAATATTTCAACCAGTGCCTCTTGAGACGGGAAAGATGGAAGCTCCAGAAGGAACAAAAAGTCCTCCTTAGCTGCTGGGGGGGGGGGGAAGGTCCTCTTGCAACTCTACCCGAGTTGCAAAAACTTCCTTTGTGGAAAAACAGCCCTGGGAAGGGAGCCTTGTAAATTATGTTCTGATTGGTTTCTCAGTAAGAATTTTACAACAAGCGGTGCCTGTATATTTGTAAATACGACATTCCGGCGAGTGTTACCCGAATAAAAAATGCAGAGAAATCCTTTTTATTAGCTAAAAGGCTTTCTGGAGATTGGTTGTTACTGTTGTTGTTGTTGTTTCTCCTTTCCTTTGTTTCAGATGACCTTCTGCTCGGCTTTTTCAATCAGGGTCCTCTAAAGTAGTATGCGTAAATCGAATTTAGCAGAACAAAGCGAGGAAATGCTAATAAAAACAGCAGGCAAAAGGAGGGGGGAAAAATTAGGCCAAAGGACTGGCGTTTATTGAGCTGTATATAGATTGTGCTTGGAGAGACTAATGCAAAAGGGTCGAAGGGAGAGCAGATTCCTACTATTCTCCAGGATGTAATTGGGAGCTGACTTGCAGGGTTTTATGGCTCCCAGTCAGAAAAAAAGCTAGATTAGTTACCGGTAGTTAGTGACAAGCATTCCAAGATTTGGAATAAGACTTCTTCATGCCTTGCTGAAAGAGGAGCTCAAAATTCTCCAGATATCCAGAGCTCTGCCAATGAAGGCAAATCTCAATTTATTTGACTTTATCATAAAATAGAAGATAGTTAGTTAGGGTTGTTTGTTTTGTTTTTTTTGTGGTAAGACAGAGTTGGCAGACTGTCTCTGTCTCTCTCTCTCTGTCTCTCTCTTTCTCTGTCTCTTTCTCTCACACACACACCAAACAAACAATTTATCAGGGACTTCTAATTAAAAATACATTGGATGCTTGGAGGATATAATAATCTCTTGAAGCACCACTTGTTGAAAATGCAAAGACAAACATACCACAGAAGACTGGCATTTAGCTACCAAATTTTCGTGGGGCAATTCTAGAAGGATCCGGGATGTTCCATCCCAGATCCACCATTCCAGAATTGGGGCGGTGCTGATTGTGTGAGGGTCTGGAAACCACAGCCGCCAGAACTCTTGTGAAACTAGTGGATTAATGCGTAATCCATTTTGAAATTAGTCAGAAAGGGGTAAAATTAGTCTAATAAAATCTCAGCTAGCTTTAGGCATTGGGGAGGGGAGGTGATTTAATGCTAGCTTTTTCCAAGTGTGCCTTCGTGTGTAGAGCCTCTTTAATTTTAAGAGTAAATGAATTCGCTGACCTATTTTTCCTTGACAACGTTATTATTTCTACAATCACTTTTCTAAACACAAAGCCACTGCTGTTCTCCAGAGCAGCTCTGACTGTACTTAATTTTGCCCAGGTCCCAAACACAGCGTTAAAAAATTAGGGAACACAAGGCAAGCCACAATCTGTTGGGTCATCATTTCAGACATACCTTCCTTACCTCAATCGATTAACAGAATAACCCTAGGAAGCAAGCAGTAAGGAATTTTGATTTCCTGCTGGCTTCCCCAGTGACTTCGTGGGAAATCACATCGGGAGATCACAATCACATGACCGTGGATGGGTGCGGCAGCACCGCAGGGCGGTGGGGAGTGGCCACAATTTTATCATAACAACTAGTCCGAAGATCCTTTCCATATCAATCCCACAGGAGTCCCGGGACACATTTTATTTTTAAGTTAATCCATTTGCGGCACCTTGATTCGAAAATTTGTCCTGTGTTGCACCGTTTTGCCCAACCGCAGTTTACAAACAAAAACGAGAGATAGTTTTAATACTTTATCGATGTTGCCTTGTCTTTATAAACGGCTACTGGCAAACCGCAATTACGCACCGAATCTTGCCAATTTCCTATAATTATAGCTTGTACGAACGGAGCACAATGCCTTTTTTAAAATCCCAAAGAAATCAAGAGGGTTTTTTTTTTTAAAAAAAAGTGGCAGCTCTGAACAAGAGCCAGATTAAAATTTTAAATAGGACTTTGTTTCCGCCTTTAAAAGTTGGAACAATTCAGTTTCATAATATAGCGCATGACAAAGCCTTTTGATTTCACAGATTTTCTTTTTATTGTTATTTTTTTTTAAAAAAAAAAAAAGTCCGGAGACCTTGAGTTTAAAAAGTATGAGGAACTTCCAGAAAATCCTCAGTTAAAAGGCTCTAACGTTTTGCTTTACAAAAATCCTGCTGATTTCAGGGTTACATCCGTTTGTCGTTTTCTTAGCAACAATGCCGAAAAATGTGCCATTGTTAGACCTAGCCTACAATCGAGGCATTTTGAAGTGGACCTTCATCCCTGTATTAAGGAGTCCCAACCCTATTTGTCTTTTGACAATCTTTTTTTTATCATTTATCAGTCTTGTGATGGGACTGCATCAAGAGCAATGAAACATCTGCAAGCAAATCACCAAGCTCGGAGATCTTTAGGGGGTGTTGTTTTTTTTTCCAAATTGTTTTCCCAAGGGGCGATTTTTTTTTTGTCTCCTTTTTTCCTACGCAATGCATTGTAGTTCGAATGCTGTTAATGGCATGTCTCCCTTTTTTTTTTTCCTTCTCTCTAAAATATATCCCCTATTTAAAGAGGGGGGGGAAAGAGCTACACCATTTCCGTTCCCTGACTTTCTTCACATTTTTTCTGTATATTGCACTTGGCCGACTTCATAATTGCCTCCGGTTGCATTATGAAAAAAAAAATAAAGACGCTTTAGTTAGACCCTGATAAATAAGGACTTATTGTTTATCGGCAAGCGAAGTGCAGAAAGTTGTGTGTTCTGTTTTGAAGAAAAAAGGCACAGGAAATACATTCTGCTCCGTCTTACGGGGTGAGAAGGGGACGTCACAGGAGATGCACTATCAATCTTTAGTTCCTTATTTGATTTATCCTTTAAATGCAAGTTATTTCCACTAAGTTCTTAACGTCTGGAGTGTTGCGGCAGTGGTAGATTCCAGACTTTATGATGACGATAATGTCCGATTGGCAATTCCATGGACCAGTTCTCTCTCTCTGCCTTCCCGATCTTGCACTACTTCTTCAAGTTATTCTGTGTTCTGGCTGGTATCGCTTTTGATGGTGTCCAGCCACGATGTTCTTTGGTGGCCTGGTTTCCTTCTACCCCTAACTCTTCCAAACATAATCGCTTTCTCCAGTGAATTTCCCCCATCATGACAAGGCCCCAATACGTGAGACGCAGTTTTTGTGATCTATAAATATTTGGTACTTTTACGACTGAATTCATTCACTATCAACATTACAGGGTTGGGGCTTTGTTGAACCACCTCCTGGTTGGGATGACGAAGAGATGTGGCCCCATCGTGGCTTCTCACCTGGCCACATCCCCTCCGTTTGGATGTACAGAGAGAACTCAAAACAACTCTTTTGCCCAAGTTCTTTAGAGAACTTGGCTTCTCCGAGATCTTGAGATACAGGTAGTCCACGATTTACAACAGTCCATTTCGTGACTGTTCGAAGTTACTGCAGCACTGGAAAAAAAGTGACTTATGACCATTTTTCACTGCAGCATCTTCATGGCCACGTGATCAAAATTTAGACTATTGGCAACTGACTTGTACTTATGACAGTTGCAGAGTCCCGGGGTTATATGATCCCTTTTTTGCAATCTTCTGATGAGTGCGGTCAATGCGGAAACCAGATTCACTTAACCGTGTTACTAACGTGACAAACCGCCGTATTCACTAAGTAACCGTGGCAAGAAAGGTCGTAAAACGAGACAACATTCACTTGACAAAAGGTCTCGCCAACACAAAATGTTTAGGCTCAATTGTCATAATTTGAGGACTGCCTGTATTTATCTTTCCTTGACTGTTCCTTTTCAAAAAGAAAGAACAAACTGCATTTCATCTTTTCCAGAACGGTGGGAGATGTTTCTTATTACTTTTACAAGGATTTTGGCTCCTCCGTCTCCCTTTTTTTTTTTAATAAGTGTTTTGCCACACCACAGAGACAGTGTATGAAAGATAGAAAGCCTTTGCCTTTCAGTGGCTACTTCCATATAATATTAATAACCACTTAGCTGACCATAAATTTGTTGAAATGGGTCTGGGTGTAATTGAAATCACCCACATACATTTCCATTAAGGTAGTTGGAGAAAAGATGGGTTTTTCACTCCGGGCTGCCTAGAGGCAAATATTAAACCCATTCAAGGCGCTTTTTACAGAAGCCAAAAATAGTTGAAGTTTGCCCTTGAAAGTTCTGACTCTTCCCAACGATCTTATCAAAAAGTTGACTTTCCAAAGATTTTTTCCCCTTCTTTTGACTTTTATTTCTAACCCTAGCACACACACTGCCCACCATTTTTCTACAGAATTTGAATATCTTAAAAAATTTCTTCATCCCTTTCTCTGTCTTTAATAAACCTTTTTACCAAGATAAGAAATGTATCTATTTCCTGTAGGAGCTTTTTTTTTTTCATTTAAATACGATTTATTCTGTTTTCCTTGATTAATACATCACTAAGATAAATGGTCAGATCTAGAATCCTCACTGCATTATGCAACCTCTCTTTAACATTCACTGCAAAATGATTAAGTGTGATTTGTTCTGGTTTCTTTGATTAATACATGATCAAGATAAATTAATTTTCAGAGCTATGATCCTCGTTGCATTATACAATCTCTCCAACATTCGCTGCAAATCGTTTTGGCTTACCCGCTAATAACGTGACACCACTGACCTCAAAAACTACATCTACATTCACATCCCCATCTAATGTTACCACAAACATTCCTATCCATATAACCACAGATATAGTAAATGAAAACAGAATTGATTTTTCCCAGAGAAAAAAATTTGACAGAGGAAAAAGATGGTTGTTGTTTTTTTTTTTTAAAAAAAAATCAATTTGGCTATGATGATTGAAGATAAACTGTCATTTGGGGGATAAGCCAGTTCACTTTTCACTCTCTGAAGTATCGGGTTTAAGGGATTCAGTGCTGAAGGTAGAAGATTTGCAGATTCTGAACAGCTTATCATTCACATCAAATTGATGCTTCCAGAGATGAGAGCTTTTCAAAATGCAGACGTTTTTGCCCTGCAGGACCTTCACTTCTCTTTCAAAAAGTGGAATAAATGCTTTGAAAGACGAAGAAATCAGGGTGGTTCATTCAGCCTGCCTTAATGTTAAAAAAAAAAAAACCAGCAAATGCCACACTTGTTAGGTGACATTTGACCACAGTGAAGATTACAGACAAGAATTCCTGACAAGATAAC